GGGGGGGGGGGGGCTTGTTCCCTGTTGACGCCATGATTTCTTGATAAGTGTTTAATGCAATATTATATTATTACTTATAATATTAACATATAATATGATGTTATCATTTGTACATGTATGTCACATATCATAATTATACAAGATCACCAAAACAGAGTTCTTTTATTTAAAATACAAAATAACCAGTTAATTATGGGATAAAATCTACTTACTGTAAAGATTATTAAGTAACGCCTATTTGCAGGGCTCTCATTATAATTAACCAATTAGAATAGAAGGCCTCAGTTTTATAAAATAAAAGTTTAAAAAATGTCGAAATTTACCGATAATAAAAATCCTAATTTTTTGACGTATTCCCTCTGTTCACTGAGGACAGGAATAATTTTTTTAATTTTGTTGCAAATGTCTTCTGTAGATACGATTTGTAGTTTATTGACATATTGCAGATTGAAAATGGAATGAGAGAGCTTAGAAAAAGTGGTGACAGAAATTTAAAATAAAAAAAAAACATTTACAGTCAAATCGATACCTTCTTATCTTCACATTGAAGCTTAAAAAGGTCGCCATTTGTCATTTGTTTTGCATATACATAAAAATTGATTGACAAATTGATTCATACCCTATCAAATTCAAATTGTAAATTTTATGTTGAGAATATTTACAGTTATAGGCTTTTCTTTTTAAAGCACGTTGACATAATTTATGGATCATATATTTTTTTTTTGGCTCATTACTTTTATGGTAGCCATATTTTCCATTTTAAGGTACCACCCCGGGGCCCATATAGGTCTTAATCCAGCCTTGGCTATTATGAAATCAAATTTAAGGTTGAGTAATTACGCCATCAAAATTCTTGCACACCCCCAGCATTTATTGAAATTTTATAATCGCAATCTACGGCTGAAATAGATGTTGTTGAATTTCTTTTGTCGAATGAAAAAAATATTGAATATAAAGAAGAATTAGTAAACTATAGTTAAATTTATTTAAAAACACCATTCCTATGTAAATTTAAGGAGGTTTTTAGAGTTCTTGGTTGTGTTATAGCGTTGACTACTTGGAGTGAGGCAGATGTGGGGGCAGACATGATCCTAGAACACTCCGTATTTATCTACAACAGATTTGTAAAAAACACACAGTGTGCATTTAAATTATTACTCGGGTTTTATATAGGCAGTAGTTGAGATACGAATACTATAGACATTTCTATTGAATAATGTAAAGTGAGGCGTCGAAAAATGTTTCTAATACTTTGAGTGACGACTGTTTTCTTTTTTCGTAGGTTGAATTACAAAATATGGAACTATTAATAAATAGAAAGGTAAATAAGATAACATGTTCAATAAAATAAATAAAAAAAATGATTTAAATCTTTATTTTTAGTTAAGCAGTTATAGTTGAGTGCAAAACATTTATGTGGTTTCATAAATTAGTAACAACTAGAAATAATGTTTTTCAATTTTTTTTAGTTGTATAGACATTTTATTTTAATTATTTATTGAGTAATTTAGTAGCAATTTTACAAAAACCATCTGCAAAACGTCAAGGCTTATTAATTTATAGACTTAAATTTCAGTATTCAATGGTGACTGAAACAATAGAAAACAAAATTTTACTAGTATTTTGGGTACAGTTATGTTTATACAGTTATGTCCATAGAATAATTATATAAAAATAAGGTTCTACACATGTCATTAATAAAATGATTACTTAGTTTTAAATAAGTATTATTAAATATTGACAACAAAATTGATTTATTAAATGCTTAATATTGCTATTATAAAAATACTTTAAATAAATTTTAAAAGATGGCGTTTTTTACACTAATAAAACATGATATTGTTATAAAATAAATAAAATTCAAATTAATCTATCATTCCAAGTTATCAGTTTTATTTGAAAACACCGATTTGTCAAATCAAAAATGAATTTTTACATTTTCTTTGTTATGTATCTAGTTAATAGTTTTACAAACGGATTGCTTTACCTTAAACCACTTACGGAGGAGGTAAAACGATGTTATTTAATTTTTAATAAAAGTTAATTGTTAAATATTTTCTAACTAGAAAATCCATTTTTTTGGAATATCTAGATATTTATTAAGGTGTAAATTATTTTTTATTCTACCTTACTTAGATATAAGGTTTTCCGAAAAAATACTTTTTAATACTTAAATCATTTGACTACACCACACATCATATTTAATTCAAATTTGCTTTAGGCATAAAAATATTTGCTAGGATTCTATTAAAAAAACAAAAATTTTGAAAATATTTAATAACTATATAAATGCTGTTTTTTATTTAAATGCAGGACCTATTATTTTATTATGATAAAATAGTTTTATCAAATATCTATGTCTGATGTCTGATTTACATGGTTCTTTGTAGGGATTGAAAACTTTATGTTTTTTGGAGTTCCGGTTGGATTTGGTTCTTAAGAAATTTTTTTTTTTGAGGTTTACGTTATGGTTAGGTGTTTAGAAAATCTAAATTTATGCTTTTGGTTAAAAACCGATCTTAACCAGTAAAAACCCTTATTTTGACATTTTTTTTCCAAAATTTAAAATTATACATTTTATAAATAATAGCAGTGACGGAATTACGAATGGGTTTGGATAACCCAGACACCAATATATTTACAATATACGTATGAGGTTAAACCAAGATGTTTATTTCAATATTTTAAGCATCAATCTATATGAATTTATTGGACACCCAACAAGCATAGCGGATGACGCTTGCCCCCCCTAACTAGGCACATTATTAATCACTATTTGGGAATGATTTTTTACTAGGTGGCACGAATACCACCCACTTTATATGTTAAAATATACAATGATTTATAATATACATTTATGCTATTGAGTTAGAAAATAAATACTTTAATTGTTAAGAATTATTTAAAACTTTTCGTTCCTTCATAATAAATTAAATCAAATTAAATAAATAAATGAATGACTGCTTGAGAACGACTGGCTATTTTTGTATTTAAACTAAAATAAAATAAAATAGCTAATTCACAAATAACATATAATACATGTATCGTAAGAATTTAAATTGACAAAGAACACCCGTTTTTTCTTATGTAATTGATCCAACAGTTTACAGCTGCTGAGCAATCAATATTTTTGTCGATTAGCTAAAATATCCATTTGGACATTTTAACCGTTGCGACACGTAGATCCGGACCGAGATAATAAGTGCGTATAATAAGTTTTTGGAAATATCCAATAAGACACATAAATTCGCCACTAGAAAATAATTCCTATTAATATCATTATATATTTGACAATGATCTCATGTATAGANTAAAATAGCTAATTCACAAATAACATATAATACATGTATCGTAAGAATTTAAATTGACAAAGAACACCCGTTTTTTCTTATGTAATTGATCCAACAGTTTACAGCTGCTGAGCAATCAATATTTTTGTCGATTAGCTAAAATATCCATTTGGACATTTTAACCGTTGCGACACGTAGATCCGGACCGAGATAATAAGTGCGTATAATAAGTTTTTGGAAATATCCAATAAGACACATAAATTCGCCACTAGAAAATAATTCCTATTAATATCATTATATATTTGACAATGATCTCATGTATAGATTTTAATTTCTTAAAACGAAATTCTATTTTAAAATAAAAATTATTGTTTAAATTATTAAAGTGTATTTTCATCTAATAATCTTAAAATGTATTTATTTTTTCATCTACTCAATTAAGTTTTGGTTCCGTTTCAGTTTTTTTTTAATTTTAAATTAAGGTTGACACGGTCCCGCGGCTTTCCCGATACACGGAGCCCCGCGACCCGTGACACCTTTATCAACCGTCGCCCTACTCTACTACGTGCATATGGTAGTTTGACTGACTAACACCGCGTGCCATACGCCACGGTACAAAGTCCAGCAAGTGTCACACGTCCATCTACGACCCGCCGCAAATATACGTCAAGTAATCTCCGTGACACCGCACGATACGGATCGTCTGCTTATTACGCCTTACCAACCCGCAGCGCCAACGATATTACCGTCGGTTTTTTATTAAGTATTAAGTATATTGTATATTTTATTTCTCATTTTGTTCTTGTTTGTGACTTTTTTCTGAAGAAACAATATACGGCTTCACGCCACTTTTTAATAAAACAAATCCTGTTCGTTCTTCATTTGGTGCTCTACGACGATAGTCATTACAAGGTTTCGTTCAAGAATTAGTTTGCAAATATGCAAAAGAGTTTTGGGTTTTTAACCGATCCTTTCGGTCCAGTCATACTTCCTGGTTTTTAAAGTTAAAAAAAGCAACGTTTTTTTATCAATAATAATAGAAGAAAAGCTAACGTTTTTTAAACTAATTTGTTTTTATAATTAAATCTAAAGAATTTAAGTATATAATATTATTATTTCTAATATAATTTAATTCATTTTAGAATGGCACATTGAATCAAGATGGATATTTAAATATGGCTGCTCTGTTTGACACGAAAAGAAATCATGAAAAAGGTATGAGCTATCAAATATTTTTCGATCTTTTGAAACAATATCAGTATGCGCACACATTAAGTGATGATGAAATCGATAAACTTTTTACGGACGTTGTATTTAACAGTAAGTAAAACTCTACTTTTAAAAAAATAAGTTTAGTTTTATTTTTAACAAAACCCAGTACAGGGGGGTCGCGGCACAGTGATGACGTGGCATAGTTAGATCAAGTATAATGATATCTGACAGTGATTAAAATCACTATCAAAAATAAACGCTTCGATGCAAATCTTTAGATAGTGTTTAATTTTAAAATATTGGTGGATTATTCTAAAAGTTACTTGATCTGCTGTTTCTTTATTAATATCCTGACTAAGATTAAGTATGTCGAATGAAAAAAGGATTATTAAAAATTATTATTTCGCATAAAAAACTGTGTTGATCTATACACTTTTCAATAAGTTATAGCCAGTGCGAGAAGGGGGGGTTGCGCAGGGGGACGTAGCTCCTCTACTTTTTTTTAAATTTTTTTGCGCACCCCAACTACTTTTTTTTATTGAGACGGGAGGACGGTGGAAAATACTACCACTTTTTTTTTTTTTTAAATATTAGTATGATCATGAAATATGAATTATTAATAAATACTAAATAAAGTAATGAGTAAAAAAAAAAAAAGGTCCTCAAAATGCTAGGGACGCAGTTTTCAAATTGTTAAGTTGAGCTCCCCTACTTATTTTTGGCCAATTCGAGCACTGGTTATAGCATTATAAAGTTAAAAATGTGACACGGCCACGGCGTTGTCACACGTTTGACACCCCGAGGTTGGATCAAGTATAATGATATCTGACAGTGATTAAAATCACTATCAAAAATAAACGCTTCGATGCAAATCTTTAGATAGTGTTTAATTTTAAAAAATTGGTGGATTATTCCAAAAGCTACATGATCTGCTAGTTCATTATTAATATCCTAATTAAGATAAAGTATGTCGAATGAAAAAGGGATTATTAAAAAATATTATTTCTCATAAAAAAATTATGTTGATCCATACACTTTTCAATAAGTTATAGCATTATAAAGTTAAAAATGTAAAAAAAAAAATTGAGAATTTTCACACAATAATAGCATTTGGTAGCCATTTTCACCGTGAAGACAAAATAAAGTCCGAAATATTTTTTTACCATTATAAAGTATATTACATTAGTTTTAATTTAAAATATATATAAAAGTGTCAGACCTTCCGGAACACTTTCAAAAGTTCAGTTGAAAAATTTCTGTATTAAGGGAAATAGTCCGATTTTAAAAAAAAGTATGTCGAATGAAAGATCTATATAAATACTACTT